TATTCATCATCATCATCATCATTGTATCACATCAAACTTAAATTGAATGAAGATGTTTCATTCTTTGCTTCAAACTTTGGTTCAATTCAACAACAAAAAAACATACTTGAATTTATACTTTTCTTTTTTTATTTACATTTACAAGTAAATAAATAAATAAATAGGATAGATTCATACATAACAACAACAACAACAACAACAAAATTATGATTACAAGCTTTTCAATCATTGATTTTCCTTCTATTCAAATGTTTATATTTTTTTTCTCTCTCTTGACAATTTATATTCTTTTCATCAAATGAAAAAAAATAATATATACCAATATTGCATCTAGGTATAACATTTATAATAATAGAAGGAAAAATCTACATTACATAACTAACTAATCATCATAATAATGAGCCAGATGATAATGATAATGATAAAAATTTGACAATGACAATTGATAATGATTAGTTTTATGTTTGAAAATGGTTTGTCTGGCTTTTTTTTTATTCTCTCTCAATTAATTAGTTAGATTGGTTGGTTGGTTGGTTGACAATGAAAGAATCAAGGAGAGGAAACCGAAAAATAATTGTCACATAAATGATGGTCGGGTATTTATATGGTTTGAAATCGACCAACCAGCAGAAAAAAATAAAATTATCTCGATAAAAAAAAACCTAATAGAGAAAAAAATGAAAATGAAAATGAAAACTTTAGCCCCAAAGCAATAATGGCTGTTTGTTGTAATGAAATTGAAGAAAATGAAAAAAAATAAATTGTCAATGAAATAAGACAGTTGTTTACGACGAATTCTTGAATGATATTGAATTGAAAAACAACAACAGCAACAACAACAACGTTGACTACGACAATTGAATATTGTACTGAGTGAGAAAGAAAAAATGATGAAAAATCCTTTAGGCAATTTTTTCCTTCTTCTTCTTCTTCATCACTGAATTCTTTCAAAGCCATCATCATTATTATCTGAAAAAATGAAGTTTTCATTTTTTTCTCCTTATCATTCTGTAAATATATTCTGTGATGTTGGAAAAAAATTGTTGTTGATGGTTTTCCACTATTTTCTGCTATTCTTAGATTTTGAATGTTATGAAAACTTCATAAAATATGATTACAAATTTTGTTTTCACCATAAATTTTTTAATGGTTTTTTTTCTATTTTGCATCGAAAATACACTTCGATATATGGCCAGAATCGAATAAATATGGTTATTGGCTTGTTGTATGGTTGATTTAATTTTTATTTCAATTTTTCCAAGTTTTTACCTGAAAAGCCTGAAGTAATTGCAATCATTCAACTACTGCTAAAGTTATAAAGTTCATAAGCCAACTCTGATTCTTTAAGATTTTTTTATTCCCCGGTTTTTTTCAATGTAAATTCTATTGAATTCAAATTTGTTTGTTTGTTTTTCTACGTTCAATACATCAGGTTCAAGTGTGTGTACCACGTTTATGTTTGTTTGGAAATGTTTAGTTTTCGATTTCGTTTTCATTTTTTTTTTTCGTATTTCAATCGTAAAGTTTGATTCGATTCAATTTGTTAGCATAATATTATATTTGGAGGAAGAGAAAATACATTGCCAATATAAAAGCGCATTTTTGTAGTTTTTTTTTTGATGTTAGAATTTGGTCAACAGAATTAGCATTCTATACCATTCAATAAAAGCAGAAACAAAAAAAAATGTAACTACAAAAATGACTGTATGTTTTGTTGTTGTTGTATTTTCTGTACATTCCGCATATTCTATTTCATTTTCAACAGAAAAAAAAGCAAAAATTCAATGAATGACCGACCATAGAAAAAGAATTGGAGAATAAAAAGTTGCTTGTTGTTCCTCTTTCATTGTATGAAAATGGGCCATCATCATCATCGATGGAATTCTGAAGAAAAAAAAAACAAATTTTCAATGAACAATGTTCAAATTGTTTCCCATTTATTATGTGAATCTTATTGAATATATTTTACTAACAACAACAACAACCGAAAATATAATGCCTATTTCGTTCAAAAACATATTATCTTTTTTTTCTCTCCTTTTTGTTTGTTTGTTTGTTAAAATGATGTATATTTATGATAGAAATGTAATTTATATATTTTCTTCTTTAAAAAAATGCAATGCAAAACTAAAGCAATCAAAAATGGGAAATAAATATTCTCATATATAAAGTCATCATGATCAAATTGATATGAATGGGTTAATGTGTAAATGTGTTTTTTACCCGATTGAAGATCAACAAATACAGATAGATTTTGTTTGTTTGATCCAATAAAATTGAAATGATTTTTACTCGGCAAGAATTTTTCTTATTCTCACCATTTTTCTTTTTTGCCAATAAAGATTGTCAAATGGAAAAAGAAAAGAAAATTGATAATGATAATGTTGTGATCTGTTTTAAACTGCTGAATAAATGAAAATAAGAAAAAAAATATGATATCATTTTCGAAAATGATTTTGAAATCGATTTTTTGTTTGCTTTTTTTTCTACTTTCATCTTTTATTATTATCATCATCATCTCCATTATTATAACCAGAAAAACTGAAAATAAAATGGAATTGTGATGACAGATTGACGAAATAATGTACGAAAAAGGTCCCAAGAAAGAAAGAAAGAAAGAAAAATTAAAAGGGATCAAATTTCGTTTTTTTTCGATCTAAATGATAATTTAATTAAAAATTCTATCGAAATAAATGTAAAGAATCCAAGTAAAAAAAGATGGAAGAGATGGATTTTTTTGATCAATCAATTCCAGCCATTTTTTTTGAACATTTAATGAAAACAAAAATGGCTGGTTAAAACATCTAAACAAGAAAAATCCGACAATCAATTCTTTCATAAATGTTTTGGAAAGAGAGAAGATAGTTTAAAAGGAAAAAACGCCTAGTTTGATCAAATTTTTTGTTTTTGTTTTTGGCAATCATTTTATGATTAATGTAAATATTTTGTTTTGTGAGAACGCAAAAACAAAAATTATTAATTAATCACTGATTTTTTTAAAAAGAATCGATTAATTTATTTTGTTGATGTATCGAAATGTATCCAAAAAAAACAAACTAACAAACAAACAAACATTGAACGACAAATCAAAGGCCAAACTGTGTCCCAAACCAGAACAACAATCAATTGATTAAAGCCATATAAAACATGCAATATGATAGTTGAATATGAAAAACAATACCCAAAAATTTCTTTCTTTTTCTTTCAATAAAAAAATTATTCGATCACAAAATATTAAATTCAATCGTAAAATGAAATTTCATGCGTTTTTTTTCTATGGAATTTTTCTCCCCTCCATTTGTCTCTCTCTCCCCGTTTTAACATTAATATTCAAGCAAAGCGAAAAGAAAAAAAAGTAAAATTTGAAAATTCTTTTGAAAAACACGATGACCATCACCATCACCACCACCATCACCACTAATGAACAATCGCCAGATGTTTTTGACATTATTTCGTTTTTTTTCTACCATATTTTTTTTCTGGAATTCACTCGTGTGTCGATTTAGACGACACGTTTTTTCAAGTTTTTTTTTCTTGTTTGCTTGATATATTCATTCTATATATATGATGTGAATGAAAAAAAAGTAATATTCCATAGTTTTTTTACAACAACATAAATTAAGTTGATGATTGAATGCGTCCATATTCCATTGATGTCTATATATGAGAAAAAAATTTTGAAAAAAGGGCTTTTTTTAACAAATAACGGTCATTTTCAAGTTCTTTTGCTCCAAATTTTTTCATATAAACCGCTTATCAGAATGATGATGAAAATTCCTTTTTTATGGTTTTTTTTGTTTCTGCATTCTCTCATTTCAATCATTTCTGTATATTTAAATTGTTAATTATCATTATCATCATCAGTAGAATGTACGAAGAAATAATAAAAAAAAGTTAATTTCTCTTCATTCATCGATTTTGTTGTTGTTGTTGTTGTTCTGGTTGTTCATAATAATAATAATCAAAAGTTGCATTCAATAAAGATTGCTATCAAAAATGTTGTTGTTGTTGATATCGAAAGAATATTGGGTATAATAAAAAACTTATAATTACTATTATCATTATCATTATTATCAATGTTGAAAGCAACAACAACAACAATTTGTTTGATTGAAAATTCATGCTTACATACATGCCATATATTTGAATTTTTGTTTCTCGGATCAAGTGAAAAAAACCCGTTATTTTCATTCAGTATATAAAAATTTACAAATTACAAACGACAAACAATATTTTGTCAACGTTGTTGTTGTTGTTGTTATCGCTTGATGATGCTTGTTTCAAGATGATTTTTCTTTTTCTTTCTTTTTTTTTGTATTATTGTTTTTCGATGGATCAACTTTGTTTGAAAAACAAATATGACAAGTAAATAAAAAAAGTACATCACATGTGTACATTAACCATTGAAAAAATACAAGAATTTAACCAAACATGTTTTTTTGTACATCATTCAAATTGGATTTAAAAAAAATTCTATAAATGAAGAGGAATTTCATTGGAATTCCCTATTTTATCCTAAAAGAAAAATTCAATGATTCATCGAACGTATCATTTTTTTTGTTGAAGGAATTTAACTCATTAGAATTAAACTAAAGTAAAAAAAAAACAAATTTGTACAAAATTGATTTTAAAAATAGCTAAATTTCATTTAATTATTTAAGTAAAGAACATTTGAAAAATTAGCTAAGTAAAGATGATGATCAAATTACATTTTAACATCACTATGGAATATTTACTATCAAAACATAAAACAAAAATTTACCAAACAATTTTACGCTTGTGTTTAATTATTAATCAAAAAAATAATCTTGATAACTTTCAATATATTAATGTTTTTCTTTTTTCTTTTTTCTTTTTCTCTATTTTTCTTTATGTTTCATCATTATTGAATCCATTTTTTTTTGGGGTTGATTAATCATCTTAATTGGTTTGCAAATATTTATACGATTTATTCGTTCATTTTGTTTCTTCAATAACATCATCATAATGTATATATCCAGATTCAATCAACATCATCACATCGAAATTCACATTGTGATCCTGATCCAGAATCAGGTTCATCAACACCGACCAAACGTACAATATCAAAAATGAAACGTGAACATAAAGCAGCTAAAACATTGGGTATAATTATGGGTGCATTTATTTTATGTTGGTTACCATTTTTCATTTGGTATGTTGTTAGTACCATAATGAATGCAGATACACCAACAGTTATTGTACATATCCTATTCTGGGTTGGCTATCTAAATTCAGCAATGAATCCAATCATTTATGCTTATTTTAATCGTGAATTTCGTGAAGCATTTAAAGAAACATTAAGAAATATATTCTGTCGTTGTTGTCATCTAAAATGTTTAGAATCACAACGAAATGATGCTATATCTTTCAGTTGTACATATCGATCAACAATGGATGTAAATGAAAATAAATATCTTAAAGATTGAACCAAAAAAACAAAACAATGTTTGTTAATGAAATTTGTTTCACAATAATAACAAACAACCTTTATCGTTTTGTAATGAGATGTGATGTTTGTTGTCTATTTGTTGTTTTGTGTACGTGCCACATCAGTCACATATTGATTATCATTGATCACGTTCATAAAGGCCAAAAGATAATGGAGAGAAAGAAAAAAACGTCGACCTTCGAAACCAAAACATCAACAAAATAATGATGAATCCTAAAAAAATTCTTCGAAAATCAATGGAACCAATCAACAACGATAAACAAAAAACGAATGATAAGAATTTCGACCGAAAATGATAAAAACGAAACATTATTTGTTTGATAAATAATGTAATTGAACAATTTGATTCAATTCAATTGTTTTCAATGATGAACGTGCCAGAAAAAAGACTTTATTCTTTTTGTTTTTGTTTTTTACGGTCATTATTTAGTTAGAAGGCCGCTGGCATGGAACATGCAACTCTTCCTATGACAGTGTGTGAACAACATCAACTTCTCTTCACCTATTCCACTGTGAATTCTCTACCAACAACAATAACAACAACAACAAAATAAGATCAAAATGCTCATAAACGGAAACACGGGATGACGTTTGTCAATGGAATAATGATTCACAAATTCTGATGATTCGTAACCAACCAAAACAACGAATGAGAAAAAAAAAATTTCATCAGCAAAAACACACTGGTTATTTTCATTTTTTTTCCTGTAAACTACTCAATCATTTTCAAAAATCGATGATTGGCTTAAGCCAACAACAACATAAAAATGAATCTCTCTCATTCTCTCTCTTTCTCTTGCTCCAAAACGAAACCTATGATTATATCCATTGCAATGTAAATCGTTAAATATTTATTTAACAATGTAAATAATTCATAACATCTACGAGAAAGAGAGATCTATACATGTGAAACACCCACTGAAGCAATATTGTATTCATTCAATGATCATATATGTTGAAAATAATCAATTCAGAATATTTGAAAATGAAAACCAAGAATGAAAAATTCCAAATGTAACACCCCTTACATTTGAAATATGTTTTTTTCCTTCTCTCTCTCTCTTACTTTTCAATCTAAAAATATGAATGATGAACATTACATGCATGAAACACACACAAAAAAAAACAGAATAATATCATGATTTGAAACAAAAAACAAAAAAATATGAAGAATTATTGCTTCACGTTTTTTTTCATTCTTAAATTGCTGTTTTCACCAAACCAAAACCATTCTTTCACGTTCTTGATACACACAATCAATTCGCTATTGGTGCAATATTGAAATAGCCTGTGAAAATGATTTTCAACCAAAAAAAAATCATCATAATCATAATCAATACAATACTCATTATCGCCTAAAATTCAATAATAATCTCCCTGTTTTTCTCCCCATTTTTATTGTTAGGAATTTTTTTTACCCCTTTTTTTCAAATTCTATTTAAATGTTTTTGTTTTTTGAATTATACACACACACACCAACACATTTAAATGCAAACAAACGAAAATTATTTTATTTTTTTCCTTCCTTCTTGTTATTCTTCTTGTTATGATGATGATCATGATTTATTTACCTCAACAAATATTGATAATTTGCTCGAAAAAAGAATTGGAAAAAAAAACAAAACAAAACAAAATCATCGAGCCCATCATCAGACAAACCGACCGATTATTTACCCAGAAAATGGGCTAACAATTTTTCAAAAAAACAGATAAAACAAAACAGCAAAATTGCATAATCAAATTGGTAAAAAATTTGGCAATCGTTGTTTTTTTGTTGTTGTTCATTTTGAATGCTCAGCCTATTTGGTAAATGTTCATTCTCATTTTTTTGGTGTTTATCACTCTTAATACAATTACATTAAATTCAATCATAAAGTCATTATCCTTTTTATTGATATCATCATCACCATCATCAATTTCCCCCCCACATTTCACAAGCTTTTCATCCAAAACTGACAAAAAAATTGTTAAATTGTTTTACTCTTGTTGTTTTTTCTCCTTTCTATCTATCTTTCTTTGTCTTTGTCATTTTGTTTTTGGTCGACAAAAAAGAAAAAATTCAATTTGAATCGGATATCGTTTTAAATTGTTGTTGTTGTTGTTATTTCACTTATGTAAACTTCCTCAAATGTCTCATCAATGTCATTATTATTTGCTCTTGCTCTTCTTTTTTTCTCTTCTTCTTGTTGTTCTCAATTATAATTATATTATAATTTTCTATAATTAATATTATATTCAACAAAAAAAACGATAATATCGAAAAATTCTATATAAATAAATAAATTAAAACTTAATAATTAACTTTTTGGTGTTGTTTATTTATATGATTATCAAAGGGTTAACAAAATTAAAGATTATGAACGAAAGTCAAATTAGAAGTGAGATTCTGGACTTTTTTCATCTTATGAAATCGAATGGGGGATGGAATTCAAATTCAATGGGAAATTCAATCGGTTTTGTTTGCAATTCAAAAGTCTATATCAATATCGATTTTGATTATTCAATCATAATTTGAATGTTTTTTTATTCCAGGTTCCTTCGATAATTTTCATCACATCATCATTATTTTCATTATTATCCTTTCCTGGTGCCATAAAAAACATTCAACAAACAAAAACTTGAGAAATGTAATGCCTGAAATATTGAACATCTCATTAAATACATCAAACTATTATTATTATTATTATTGAATTAGAATCAGAAGAAAAAAAAGGAATGTCCATGAAATAAATAAATATCAACAAAAAAAAAATCCATAGCAATACAATCATCATCATCATCATCAAGAACAATTTTCCCTGACACGAACACAACAACAAACACAGACAAATATATAACACAAAACAAAGAATTCAATCCAATCCAATCACAATTGAATTGACATATAACACAACAAAACAAAACACATATACAATACAAATAATCATACCAGATCGACAATAATCAATGGAAGAAGAAAGAAAAAAACAAACTTAACGAATGTTGACACGCACACATACAACCAAACAAACAAACACCAACAAACGGACATGGACCAGATTTTCTACATTCCATATTTCTTTCCCTTTATATATATTATATATCCGAAATGAGTTTGGTCAATATTTATTATTATTATTATTATTATTATTTTCATTATTTGAACACTTGGAGCAATAATAATAATTGTAATTGTAATTGTAATAGTAATATTATAGTTGTTGTATAGTCGAATGGCCGAAATAAAAAAAAAAGAGCTAAGAAAATAAATAAAAATTTATGTTTTTATATATTGAACCGATAAATTGTTAACGTTTGTATCAAACATTATTATTATTATCATCATTGCCGGGTTATATACAATGTAACTATGATGATGATAAAAAATTTTTGATACTTTACTGTTTTGTTTGTTTTTCCAAGTTACAGAATTTATTTCAGAGTTTGTTCTCAACAATATGAATCTGTATTTGATCTTAATGATGATTTTGTTTTTTTTTTGAAAAACATGTTTTCAACAAAAAATAAATTTGTAAACATTCAATTCATTCCGGTAATTCCGGTTTTTCGTTGATATGTAAAAAAGAATCAAACATTGACAAATTCGTTCTTCTTTTTTAGTGAATATTATCAACTACCACCCATCAATTACCGAAAAAATCTATTTTAACAATTTTCATCTGTTTTTTTTATTTCAACAGTCAACACAACCAGAATATATAAAGAATTGGTTAAATTTTTTTTGTTGTTGTTGTTGTTGATCATCGATATGATGATCATAATGGAAATATAGAAATGAAAATTGATAAAACCATCATCATCATATAACTATCGAACAACAACAACAACAAAAAGTAATAAGAAACAATTTCCATTTGGGTTTTTTTTTCATTTTATTCTATGGGTAACTCGGCTGGAATATCGGAAAAATAGATGATGATGATGATGATATCTTCATCTGGAAAAAGAAAGAAAACATCTCAGAAACCAATAAGTTTTTATCAATCGTCATTATAATCGATAATGGCAGCCACAGCAATAATAATCAAACCGTAGCCAGAAAAAAAACCGCATGAATTGTTTTTCACTATTTGTTTCATCTTTTTTTTTCTTCAGTTTTTTCAGATCGATTTGGAATTCAACAAACAGAAAAAACATTGCTTTTCAATGATGATGATGATGATCAGGATCATGATAAGCCAACATTGTGCATTCTATCGTAACATTTTTTTAAACGTATTTTCCCAGACAAATTCAGAGTCATATGTTTTTTCTTTCTTTCTTTTACTTTGTTTGTTCTATATCTGTATACAGACCATCCTGATGGACATTATTATTTCATAAAACATGCCCTTATATATAAAGGAAAAAGATTAAATATGCAAAGTTCTGGGTATTTGTAATTCATTTGTGTTAGTTTGTTGTCCATGTATTTTTTTGCATAACACACATACACACAAACACAAACACATAACACATTCAGATTTTAATGGATTTATATTGATTGATCATTTATCGAGATACAAGTTTCAGATTCAACATGCATGATTATAATGATGCAAGAATATTTTCTTTTCTTTTTTTTTTGTTCGATGACACTCATATAACAACAACAAAAAAAACATAGAGAATAATCGAAGAAAACAACTTTTTATACCATTTTTCATAGTCTTGTCTTGTTTTTTTGATAATGATATTTATTTATTTTCATTCGTTTCGTTTGGTTCATAACCAGAAAATTTCTGTTTAAAGTTTCTGTATTAAAGAAAAAAGTAAAATAACAAGAAAATAGCTTGAAAATTTGACTAACATCATTATACTATTACCATCATCATCATCAACATTGAACAACTATTCATAATGATAATAGCCGGTACCATGTTCAAAAAAAAGAACGGAACAACAACAACAACAACAACAAAATAAATAAATGGACCATAGGGAAAGAAATGAATCATATTGGATCAAGGCTGTTTTTTTGGTTGTTGTTTTGTGTAAGAAATTTTTTTTGTTATTTATTTATTTAAAGAAGAAGAAGAGTTTTATGACCATTTTTATAATGGTTTGACAGAAACTATCATCATCATCATCATCATTGAAAGCTTATATTCATCGAAATTTCTTTTCT